GACCGTTGCACCAATTCTTCCTTGTACTGTGCTTTGGTTTTCAATTGCCTGAGATACTTTCCCTTTTCCTTTTACTGGTTGTTTCCTTTGTTGGCTGAGGTCCTGATTCTTTGCTCGTTAATTCTGTACTTGATTCAACTTCCTTCACATGCAGAACATAACTGTTCCTTTCCTTCTCTGTTCTTTGACCAACTTTCCTGATTTATGCCCATAATTTAATAAATGGAAATTGCTCGTTTTGCAGTTTTGGGTACTCTACAAGTCCTGGGCTCAGATTCTTCAAACAAAACTGATTAGATATCTATATATCATGACATATTCACATGCAATTTTAACTTCCAATTTTCTTGAATTTTAGGGATTGGACTGAGAAGTTTGGGTGGTTGTGGAAATATGGAGAGTGAAAGGTCCAACCAAGGAAAAGAGTCAGCTCCAATTGGTCTATCTTAGGGTTTAAGTAAAACTTTTTTTTTTTTTTTGATAAAGTTAAGTAAAACTAATTATCTGATACCTCTAAACCAATATATTAAATGGGTCTTAATTCTGAAACTAGGATGTGGGTCCAGTTATACGCAGCCCATGTGCTTGAACTCTTGTGGCCAACTTGTGGGTTCACAGTTTTGCAGGTCCCTGTCTAAGGGTACATGAAAGCTGGACTTCCTGTTCCCCATCAACTTGTTCTTTGTACAAATATGGAAAAGTTTTGCTAGCTCTATTGATGGTCCCCCCATGGTGGTCTTCATCAATCCTTCCCCCTCCTGTTAGTGACCCCAAACCCCAAAAATCAGATTATATCAATTCACAACCAGATAAAACTACATGAACATGACATATTTTCTATTTTCATTTTTCATTTGTTGGGTATGGGCCATTGCATTTGGAGTATAAGAATGGATTGGATCCAGATTCAGGGTGGTGTAGGAGAACAGAATGAGAAAAAATGGAAGTGCAACAAGGAAGCAGTCCCTGATCACAAACACTGTAAGAGGCACATACACAGGGGAAAGCACCGTTCAAGAAAGCTTGTAGAAGCTTGTCAAGCAGGCACTCCTAGAGCTATTGCCAGCACCGACCACCCCATTTCTCTGCCAGTAGATAGCAGCAGCAACAGCAATTGTCATCCCAAAAGTGTTTTGCAACTGCAATGGGGTTATCTAAAATCTCACCCTTCTTTGTGATTTAAGGACTTTGGAAGAAATGAGGATGATTTTTCATGACTCAATGTGTACGCTAAGAAAAAATTTACGATTTTCTACAGAATGATCGGATTGTCGAGTTATATATGTTTCAAATGTGAAAGACATTGTATATATGTTGCTGCTTTGCTTAATCTAATATTAGTAGAAAGGAGATTACCATTTTTCTTTTCAATGTTTCAGATGCATAGTATGGATAGTGGGAACAAGGACTATGTGCTGAATGGAGTCACAGGTTCATTATGTATATTTACAAAATTCCCTTTTGGGAAATTGAAACCATCTCTTGTACACTGTGAATACTAGGGATGGCAATTTCCTCCACGACCCGCAGAGCTTAGCGGATTTTTCCGTCACGAGGATGGAGATTCAGAAAATATTCCTTCCCGTGGAACGAGGATGAAGACATTTTTTTTCCTGTGAAATTTCATTGGGAATTTCCTCCACCTCATGGGTAACTGTGAAAGTCCATATAAAATAAATAAATAAATAAATTTTTTTAATATATTAACAATTAATTTTTATTTACTCAACCTAATTAATTGATCAATCCATTTTTTTTTTCAGTTTTCCGTCACGAGGATGGAGATTCAGAAAATATTCCTTCCCGTGGAACGAGGATGAAGACATTTTTTTTCCTGTGAAATTTCATTGGGAATTTC